GCAGCTAATGCTGCAATTTCTGTTATGGCACTTGAGCTCTCCCAACTCAAACCAGGAAGTTTCATTTTGAGGATGTGCTTCTTTCTTTCTTTTTCTCTCCTACATTCTTGAAAAAAGAAAGCTAATTAAAGCATACACTTCAAAAATGGATATTTGCTGCTAAGCAATTATCGTCTGAAACAATTATTCAAACAGTAATAAAGTATAGGCTGGAAAGGGCAGAACAGACATTCCCAAACAGGAGGTTCAAAGAAAGGTTGGTTTGTACTCCAGGCATAATCTGATCCTGTTTTCATTAGGAGTGCTTGCAATAAGCCTAAAGCAATCAGGCCAGGAACTTTCAGAAGTCATTGACTTGAGATTCATAGAGGCAAATAGCACAGCCAACTCCTGTAACTGAAACAATTCTATTCTCTATGCAAAATTTAAAGCACAATCTCTAGCACATTTATCCAAGGAACCAGGTAGCCTAGCAATTTAAATACTGCGTAATTCTTATTTTAATGGACTAATATTGGGAGGGGCATGGTATTTGTTAAAACAGAATATCCCTTTAATCCCAGTGGAATTTATGCACACGTAAAATAATAAATGGGATACTATACACATGCATAATTATATATTTTGTTTTTATATAAATGATATATTTTATACCAACATTTTACATGTGCATAAAATAATGAATAGGAAGCGAAGGATGGCAATCAGGATTTAGCACACACAGAGCAGCAGAGGATGTATGGACAGGGCATGCTATGAGATTTAGTACCCCAAATCTGCTAAACTGAGGTTTATTAGATCAATGGTTTACTAGATTACCTGACAGCCAAGCATAGCTTTAGGATAGCGTAATGACCTGAGTGCCTTGACACCAAAGGTTGACAAAAAAAACAATAAGTTGCCTTAGTGTGTGCAACCATAGTGGAACTTTAGATATGGCTATTATTTTCACACTTTCCCTATTCACTCTACAACCTAAGCTACTTCCAGATCTCTTAATGTGCAATGGCAACTGTTTACTGCAGTCATTTCATAGAGCTCATCCCCATTAGTTAAAGTCCTTGAACCTTGAGATGGACAGCAAATAACGTTGATAAATAATTAAAGTTACCTGACAATGTTTTATGTTCAATTAATGCCCCCTCCCCCCACTCTAAATGACCTGCTATTTATGTCAGGAGGCACTGTAGTTTCAAATTATTTTTTTGTGTATGTGAATCTCCTAAGCTTTCGTTTCCTTTCTTTTCTTTGTCAGTGAAACTGAGGAAGTCAAACTGTTTTGTTTTAACAGTTGTGTTAAGGCTGTCTCATTCTTGACTGTCAACACAGAAATGGGGGCATTTGATTTAGCCAGAAAAATCTTTTTAAAAAATTATATAGAAATGAATGTCCCATAGCATGTTTCCTAATATTTTGGGTGGAAATTCTAACATCTCTGTCCCTTCATCCTTCTGGTATTGTCTTCGTCACCCTCCTGAGCAGTCTAGTTATTGTGATGATGCATGCAGGTATATTATTCACAGAATCACATGGCTATTTATATTGTAACATTTTTATACCTAAAATTCAGATTGCTCTCCTCCCTGCACTTTCCCTGTTCAAAATAAATGGCAAATATTAGTATATATATAGGGATGTCAGCAGTGGCCAATTTGGTCCAAATATCCTTTATCCCTTATAAAATTTTGCAAGCTGCAGATATCTGACATTTGGTATTTAATGAAAAGAAGCCTAGCTTGTATAACAATGTAGAGTCTGTGAAGGGGAAAAGAACTGCAGAAAACAATCATCAACCTTCTAGAAAATAACCTCTAAATCTTTGTTGTGTGAAGACAATTCCTTTCCACATTAATCTGCTTTAGCTGACTTCTTGAATCCTGTGATTAAAGTTGCTATTGCAAATAACAACTACTTTCCATTGACTCCCATTCCATCTTTTAGGATTTAGGATTAAGAAGGGAATGAACAGCTGGGGAAAGGATGCATCCATTCAATATTTGATACTCATAAGGTGCTGTAGCAGTCTAGTTAAGGAGGGATACAATACAAATGGCATTCTGTCCATTATGGGTAATATAATAATTAGAGGTATGCCACATGAGACACCATCACATCTGTTTCCCCCAACTAAGAACACCAGTTTGAGCAAGTGTGAGGAAGATTTCTGGAAACCCTAGAGATAGAAAATTGGCTTGAGTGAACTATTGTTGTTGTTGTTCATAGTTTCTAACAGAATCTCATCAAGTTGTCATGGAATCTATTTTGAAAAATCCTGCCATAAGCCAAAGGAAGATAAGAAGTAAACAGGGCAAGGGATAAAAAAGCAGTTCAAAAGAACCATCTGAAGAAATAGGAAAGCCACATTCACGCTGGTAAGACAGAAAGGAAAAGCAATAAGAGGTAAGTTACCTGGTACAGAGGTACAGAGTTTATATATATTTATATATACAGATATATACAGATGATGCATGCACATACGGTAGATATATAATGAGAAAAGGAATTCTGGGCACTTAGTTCTACATTCTGTGAAACCTGTATGCAGAAAACTATGCACTCAAAGCAGCTGTATAGGTTTTGAAACTTGGATCCCAGCTTTAAATGGTATCAGTGCAAATGCTTTACTGTCTGCTTTGTGTGCAAAGCCAGTCCTTGCATTCTCTCTCCCAGAAGTATGCAAAATCCTTGACCTTTGATCCTTCTTCCTTCATCCCGTGGAAGAGTTCTTGAAGCCTTGTGTTCAAGCACAGTTGGTCTGGTCTCCACTTAGGGAGAGTGGCTGGCAGCTATGAACAGGGCCTGACAGATGTCAAAAGGCAGCCTGTCCAGTTAGGTTACCATTGGACATTTGCTATTGTCAGATAAATTGCTGTCCCTTTCCTCAGCCATGTCAACCAATATCACTTCAATGAAAGAGATAGTGCAAGTAATCTCCCTCACTTGCATTTTTGTAGATTTGCAGAGGCATATCTGTTGGAGCAATTTTAAATATAAATATATTAAAGACCTGCACCCCAATATATGGTAAGTTCTTTAATCAGGTGTAAGCAACCTATGGCCATCTAGTTGCTGCGGGTCAATTATTTTCATTCATAGCAAGCCATGGAGATGGCCCTGAGGGAACTATTCAGAAGCTGTTACAAAAATAAAAAGAACAGAAGTATTCATTTAGTCTTTGGAAAGATACTTCTTTCTGACTTCCTAGGGTAAAAGGAGAGGCTGAGGCTGAATCGGACTTGCAAGATTCTGTTCCCTATCTCAATAAAGCTAAATTCTACTCTTCCATGGAGTCTGTTTCCTGATCTGGATAATTTCAAAGTGCTGATACCTGCATGAGCAGGGGGTTGGACTAGATGACCTCTAAGGTCCCTTCCAACTCTGTTACTGTTACCTGTTTGAGGATAAGAGAGTTCTTCAACAAAGCTCAAGAGTACCATGTTGGGGAAGGACAGATTGTTTTATACATGTACAAGAAGAGGAGAGTCACCTGCTATTATGGTTCTGATTTACCATTTTGATTTTTAGACACTCAAGGAAATGAAGATTCAACACTGCTGTTTTGACAATTAGTTCTCATTATGTAAACTAGATAACCCATGATCTGTTGAGTCATTGTTTCAGAGATATTTCCCTACCTAAAGCTTATGCACTCCCCATGCACTTCACTCACTACCTTTCAAACATCCATGCACCATTCCTGATCTGTGGAATACCTCTTGCACATGCCTGTGCACCTTTCCAAACTTGTGCAATGCATCTCATACATCTTCTCCACATCCCTAACTCGTGTTTCACACAAACCCTTACACTTTTTTGCATCCATCCCAACCTGCTGTATGCACCTCTCATGCACCTTCCCTGATAGTGTGGCACCTCCAGCACACCCTTATTCCTTCCTCCATCTGGCAGCAGCCACTCATTTGCCTACCAGCCTGGGATTTCTGACTTCCTTATGCGAAGTTGATAGAGAGCATTGGAAATGACAATCACATGACAATAGCAGTGCAAGAGTGTGGCAATGTTGAAACAGTCACAACTCTGCCAAATTTCAATCTCATAGGAGTGATGGGTCCCAGATTTTGGATGTATTTTATAAGTTATCCCATTTGAGATACATTAGTTCAAAAACTGTTGCCCTGTGAAGCACTGTTTTGCCCAATTTACGATTAGAAACAGGCAAACAGATACAAGAGTTTTAGTTCAGTGGTGCATAGATGAACAAATTTCTTCTAGTTAAGTTGGAGCTTGAAAACTTAATAGGACAATATGGATTTCAATTATTGAGTAGTAAATGCACCCTGAAATAGCATTTTCACCCTTTTCTGTTCTGACAAGGGTTTTATACCTTTATTCTCAAGGAAGGATTTCCCATTGGTGCATCAAGCTTATTGACTGAAACTCTCCTCAGTTTTCATCAAATCCTTTAAAAGTCATTCAGAACTCCCTGTAGCAATAAACTTAATTATATGCCATGGAAGAAGAAATGGTTTGATCCTTATTTTTTTATCTATTAGTGTCAGTGACTGGTGATGAGTTTCTTTTCCTCAAAGAGAATAAAATGCACTTATTTTTTTCCTAAGTCATTCTGTCCTCATTATTTGTTATTTTATCTCAAAGATGTGGGAATGTCTCTTTCCTTCCCTTTTTGATAGATATATTATTATTTTTAGAAAGATTAACACTGATTCCTCCTCCTCAGCATTTAGCCTGGAGCTGCCTTTCTCCAGGCTTTTCCCTACTTGCATTTAATTACAGTATAAATATGCCCTGGCAGCATTTTTTTTTCTTCCCACTATATCTGCATTGTGTTGAATCTCCAATCCAAGAGTGTAACAGCTTTAAATCAAGTTTAGCTGTAGCTGGTATTTTCTCCTTATACTCTAACACCATTCAAGGGCAACATTAAGGTGTCTATACTCTGGTGGACTTAGTCAGGTGACTTATTGACTGTGAAGAAGGCAACGCAAGATAGGATCAGTAATGGGAATAGCACATTTACGTCAATGTATACTCTATTTACTCATAAGTTGTATGTACAACAATAACAACACATGTTAACTGAATCATAGTTTTATTCAACCCAATTTTCAAAGATCCTTTGATATATTGAACTATAAATGAGCTACTAAGCATGAGATTGACTACTGTACTTCAGTAGGACTTGCAAATATATTTATTTTTAATTTTAAAAATGACATTCTGGTCAAACTGTTGCACTTTAAAGCTGTCTGTATTGTCCTCCAAGCTGTTTCCAAACCCATTTGGGGCAATCTCACTTAAAGCACAGCTAGAGAACATGTGCAAAAGGAAAATTATAACAGAGATTTTTAAGGTGTATTTTGTTTTAATTACAGATTTTCTTCTCTGACTTAATTTCTCTGCTTATTATACAATTAAATTAAGTAAAGGCAAGGGATCTGTCCATGTGGTTTATTTAGCAACAACTCCATTATTAATAAAATGTCTCTTGGTGATGCTACAAGCAGTTATATTCCCCATCAAAATTGAATGGGCTCTCTACTTATTTTCTCTCATTTTTTTAATATAGCAAAATAGCACTTTTCACAATAAGAGAGAAATAACATTTTAAAATATTATGAGAAGAATGCAGTAATTTAAATATACTTGCTGCAGAATAGAAACTGCCCAATTAAAGAGTGATTCATCAGTGATGGATTATGTTCAAGAAAAAGCAAGTAGGTTCTAATATATGCTACAAGAAAACTTTACTGACTAGAATTTGTCAGAGTAAACATTTTAAAAGTATCTTCAATAGAATTGACCAATAATATGGACATTAATAAATGTCTTCTGTCTTTAATTTTACATCTAGCTAATTATTAAAAAACAATATCTCATTAATGCCAAATGCCCTTAATATAGAAAAAACTGCTATTCATAGACTATTTGGTAATATAGCAGTTTTTCATGGGGAATATTTCACACAGGTCCTGTTCATGTTACATACTTAATTAGGTCATGAGTGGGGGGGAGGCAGATGAATGTGGTGCCAATAGGAAAATGGAGCTAGCTAATTAATGTGATGGGACAGTAAGGGGTTGATTAAGCCCTAAAAAGCCTCAGGTTTGTTTGGATTGGGGCTAAAATAATTCTTTTGGGCACAATGCAAATAATTTATGAAGGATTAACTGCCTTCCCTATAGAGTTACAAAAATGGGACATCTCTAGACATTCTGATTGTATAGCCATTTTGCTTTTCACCTTCCCATGGTGGAGAAGCAGAAATAAAAAGGACAGGCATGCCCCCCTATTCACGATGATGCCAATCCTGATCCATTATGAGATCTCTCCCTCTCCCTCTCCCTCGTTTTCTCTCCATGAAATCTGATTTATCATTTTAATTATAAAATTATAATTCAGTCAATTTTTATAAATTTATGCAATTTAATTTCTATATCATAGAATCTGGATAAGAGATGATATTTTATTCTTGGGTATTCTCTTTTTCATGCTATAAATTTCCATATTTGGTACTCACATGCATTATATTGGCCTAGAATTTATACTAGTAAATTTGTATGATTTGGCCAGTGCCCATTTAGTAATTTGCTTGGTTTCACTAGTCCAACAATCAAGAAAGATCCAGCAATATTAGGTCAAACAGTTTGATGGACAGCCAACTAGTTAGTGACAGTGGTATGTTGGGTATATGACACATATCTCAAATGACTTCTGTCAGGTGCTTTGTGTAAAAGAGAAATCAGTAGTTCAGTCAAATAATTTTAAAAGACTGATCTTAATAGATTTATCATATTTTTTACAAGACAATTAATGTATCAGCTAAGTTGATGACCCAAATCAAATATCCTTATTATGATTGTGGCTCCGAGTAATTCAAATAATACAATTTGAAGAGTACAGGTCCCCATTTCCATTTCTCCAGACGGGATCTGGCACCCCATTAACTCTTTTTCCTGGCTAGTATCCACAAGACTTCATAAAATCACCTGGCCCTTATACATTGAAGAGACTGGTAGGAGTAAGTATGGCTTGGGCATTGTAGACAATCAAGATTTTGAAAGTGTGTTTGATATTGCCACTGTGATACAATAGTGAATTCTGTACTGGAGCTTATTTATTCAGCCATTGACAAGGATGGGATTAGTTTAACTATGCACAACTGGGCTTGTTTTGAATTATGGTTAACTCTCCCATGCTTATTTTACTGGTATTATTTTACTGGTATTTGGTGTAATGGTTAAGTCACCAGGCTAGAAACTAGGAGATTGTGAGTTCTAGTTCTGGCTTAGATATGAAGCCAGCTGGGTGACTTTGGAAATGAGGAAAGCCAATTTTGCAAACAGAAGGCCTTTCTGCAGCAAATTATCTTTTTTTTTTCCTATTTCCAAATGGCAAGACAAACACACGCAATATGAACTGAAAGCATGAGGAAGGAAAACCAACCGTTTATTTTATATTCCTGTTGCATGGAGTGGATTTTGATTACTCTGGGACTGGTAGTAGCTCAGCTAAAGTGTAGGAGGGGTGGTGGATGTCACCAATGGAAGGAGATGATAATTGTCATCTCATCTGGTCAACTGAAAGAGCACGAATTGTCTCCTGAAATCTCTACTAATCTCTACTAATAATATTAGTAGAGAATAGTAGAAGTGAGTGATGAGGAAAGTATTGGCTTTGAGCAGCAAGCTGCGGAATAGAAACAGTGATAATATGGAATTGCCTTTAGATACGTAGATGGCAGACCTGCATAATTTGTGGTCTTCTAAACCTGATGAGGTATATCAAACATATCTTATGGCCAAACAGATGGTAAGCAACATCCATTTTTGCCATCTCAGCAGCAAACCAGGAAGTGTATCTTGGCTCTTAGCAATGTTTTGATGGTATTTAAAATACGCTTTCTCCTTCTGCTTAGGATATAAATACTTCTAAGGCATCTTAGAAGAAAAATCTAAGAAAATAGTGTTTAAAGGTAGAAAAAAATTGTGTTATTTTTCCCCAAAGCAGTGGGGTGATTTTGATCCTATGTGTCAGTAGAAATAGCAGAGGAGAGGATTGGAAAACAGACCCACATATTCTTTTCATGAACTTCCCTTTATTGCTATTAAAATATGAAGTATTAAGAATATATGATCTTTATATTAAAAAAATCAGGGATGAAGCCACACATTTTTTTTCCAGCAACCCAGAGTCACAGTGGCTCAATCTAAAATTCTGGGGAAATGTTTTGTACATTGTGAGAACAGGAGCAAGGATTCTTTTTCAAATTATCAATTAATGACTGAAGACCATGCAATTCTTTATGCATTATTTCTTTTTTCTTTTTTTCAGTAGAAAACTGGCAGGAAATTATATGTCCACTGTTGCTCAATTTACTGCCCAATTGCAGCGGCATGATCTGAGGATTGTCAGGGGGCCATAAAAAGTACTTAAAAAGTGAATGAAAAATTGATATACTGACAAATAAGACTGACTTTCTGGCCAAAAATGGATGGAGGAAAATCTACTATGGGGATTTTCTTATCTCAGTTTCTCTGCATCTGATGAGAAAAAAAAACATTTGAAATGTCTTTTAATTTACCAAATTTGTCAGGGCCAATAATTGGGAGTAAAAAAAAACCCTGGATAATGCAATATCTTTTATTCCACGTTTGCTCTGTCTGTTTCCTTCATTTGATAAAGATTTTTAGGAAACAGAATGATGCCTCACATCCTAACACACAGTAGTAATCTCTCTACCCACACTGTCATTTGACCAGGTGAAGCTTTTTAGATTTTCAGGTTAAACATATTGTCTTATGGAAATGCAATTTCTGAATTTTGATGTATACAGTATATTTCCAGTGAATGAGGAAAATTCAAACTAGAAAACTCTGCTGGCTTTCTATTAGTGTTTAATTATTATGTAAGGAGTTGCAGTATGTATTTATGGATATTTCAACATCTGCATATTTTCATTTTCAATCTATATTTATGTATTTCACTATTTCATTCTTATTAATTTGATCATTAAGTATTGAGTTACATTTACCATATCTATTTCTAAATACAGTACATTTTTTACCTAGCAGTAAATCCCAATAAACTCATTTGTGAAAATATACTTATAATACTGCACTTTTTTTTTATTTAGCTTAATGTCTTGGTTCATTAATTTTTTGTTTATTTTTCTGGATAACAATATGTTGGAATAAAATAGTTTGTGTACAGCTGAAATAGTTCAGTCTCCTTCATCTTGTTCCTCTCCATGTTGGACCATGTTCTGGCCACGTTAGATAAAAAACTGGAAGTTATAATCCAAAACATCTTTAAACATTAGGCACTGAAAAACCAATCTAACAAATGAGATACAAGCATTTCTGTGGGAAAAAAGATGGCAATAAAACATGTTATGGAATTTGGTAGCTTTTCTGTTTTGTTTCACTTGTAATAAAATAAACCTTTATATTAAGATATTCTACACTCAAGCATCTGTAAACAGTATCCTTTGAGCTAGAATTTTTGCCTTTTATTTTCTGATGTATGGAAATCATGTTTATATACTTGTGGCACTAAGAAATATACTTTGTATATACTCAAAAGTATTTCTATCTGTTTTATAACTAAAGATCAGCATAAATCAGTGGAGTGCTGGAACTGGTTTGTACTTGCAAGCACCAATTCTTAATTTTTTTGGAATTTTGCAAGCCAGATGAAAGAAGAGAAGACCTGAGCCACCACACCTAGTGCACCGATCAGCTGTCTGGTGGCTAGCAGCACCACACAGTGGCAGCAATGGAGCTGGCAGAGTCAGTGTTAAATATTTACCAGAACACCACTGAGCATAGGAACCAACTGGAGTTGAATCAATGACCCCAGCTTGTTAAATTTTAGACCACAAAAATCTGGGAAGCTGAATGCCCACACTTTATGCTCAGGTTCTTTTGCCCATATGGTAAACAATTAATGCAGGATCGCATTACCAAGAATTTTTCTTATAACAGCTTCATTTCAAACCGCCCTGTAGAGATCATTTCCCTGTGCAGCCAATAGGATGTGCATAATGAATTTATAGAGTGTATGAGAGAAAGTAAAACTATACTTTTGACCTACAATAACATACATTCTCAATAAACAAGCTGTATTGGGGAGGGGGGAGATCTGATAAGCTTCACCTTGTTGATCGTTTTTTCATATTTTAAATAAGAAATAAGTTGTGGTCAGAAAGATTAGCAAAGGCCAACATGACAAATTATATATAAAAGAGAAATATGTCTGACATGAGTCTGATAATTACACATACAACCCTGTGTCATTCTTCTGATCTTTCCAATCTTAATGGCCAGAGACTTGATGAGGACCCAGAAGCATCCTGTTCTCCCTAGACCCATCCATTCTGAAAAGAAAGAAACCACAGTCACCTGGGAAGCAACCCAGTGAAGAAGAGACAGAGACTCCAAAGGAAGAGCTCGGCTTGAATTAAGTTTTTCTCTTTTTTTTCCCTTCCTTTGGTAAGAAAAATCAGCTTCCTCATCTCACCCTCTAAAAACTCAACAAAGAAAGATTCTATTAAAATACTAAATCACAAAGAAAGAATTGAGATTATATTCTCATTCTAAGAACTCTCGGAAGTTGAGGAGAGGGGCAATACAGTTATATAGTATTCTTGTAGTAGACCTGTTTGGATAATACGCACATATACTGTATGTGTAAACCTGCATGTACACACATACAGAAATGCATGTGCATGAGATCCTGGATACTTAATAGAATTATTGACTTAACCTGGTTGCATCTGGTTTTTTGGGAGTGGATGGGTAGAGCAGAATTAACTTTCACCAATCCTGGGTTCTCCATTTGTATTAGAAAACTTGCATAATTTCACCACCAGTATTAGGGATTGGGTTGGGAAAGACAAGATTATGACTTTCCACTCACTCAGTTGTACATGACCAATAATTACCTGACCAACAGCAAGCAGAACCACCTGGGACTACCCTCATGGAGGGACAGAAATCCAAGGTTAATATTTTTCTATGCATTTGAAACTTGGCAAAGTAATACTTTACCTTTAAAAAGAAAACAATGCACAGTATTTTTAAATCTCAGTAATCCCCTCTTCTAGTAAAGATATGAGGGCATTCACACAATATTCTAAACAACTCTAAAAGATTTCCAGGACCATGTATGCCACTATTTTACTCCCGTGCCAGAAGATTCTTTAAGTAAATTGAGTAGATTAATTTAGTGACTCATCCAAGTTCAGAACAATCACTATTTCTAGTTGGTTTCACATTCTGGTTTATGCTAGCCGGAAATGGTAGTTGCTTTAAATTCAGATAAGATGTTTAGCCTTAAGGAAGCCCTGGACATGGTTAAAAAGATACATATAAATATATCTTGGGAGGATCAGATGGCAATACACATAGTCCCTTCACTGATTAAGTTAAGTCTCCATAACCTCTTTCTTACATATAGAATCTACTCCCAATACAATAGCATGCAGCATGTCTCAATAAGTCATATAGGGTGGAAATGAAAATGCGTTCAAGGGCAATGGGATGATCAATTCTCCAGACTACATCTCAAGCCTCACCCCGGCTCCTTGGCTCTCTTTCTCTTCATCCTCCGTATTAATACTGTTGAAAGGCTTAGTGGTTCATGATACAATGGAAGGTAAAATAAATGGGGATGGTGATTGAATCATCAGTTGGCCATTCCAGTGCCCACTAGAGGAAAAAAACAAAATGACCCAACTCTGCTTTCATATAACCCATGGAGAGAGATTGGCTGTATGCAAAGACATTAGTATTAATGGATTCAGCAGCCAAGTTTGCCACATGGAGAAATCCAGGGGGCTGGGAGTCAGTAGGCTTCTTTCCAGCCTCAGTCTGAGTAGATTATGAAACCTGAAAAGGTACTGTATTTGTTGTTGTTGCCTCCATGGGCTTTGCCTCCATCAAGCTTGATGAAAACTTCATCCCCAGCATCCAGGTGTAGGATAACACTGTTGCTAGCATAGTCGTAGTTTTGATCAGCATCCTGTGCAATGGCACTGGCCCGCACCTAGGAGAGGAAAGTTCATAGGAAGGTTTGAGGGAAAGCAGAGGAACAGAGGGAGAGTTGGGGTGTGGGGGAGAGGGAGAGAGAGGAAGCAAAAGGTGAAATAGTAGCAGCAGTGAAAATTCTCAAAGCCAATATGCAAGAAAGGATGAGGATACAGAAACACCGAAGAAGGACTATCTCTGTTGCATTTTCCTATTTAATTTTTGGCTTCCTAATCAGCTCACTTTAATTCCCTTTAATAAGGGGGAAATCAAAACAGAGTAAACCTTCATTGCAAGTGACCAGCTTGAAGTCTGATTTGGAGATATATAGAAGGGCTAAATTTCACCAAGGTGGAAAGTTATGTAACAATCACTAAGTGTAAATATGCTCTTGGTTGCTATTTAGTATGACCCCAAAATAGTATTTGGATGCTTCTAAACAAACAAAGGCTATGAATGAGACCTGTGCTAGGGCTGGTGGTCTCCTCTCCCATCTAGAGCCAGGCCCACTAGAGCAGGGGTGGGCAAATGTGGCCTTTTACAACCTGTGGACTTCAACTCCCAGAATTCCTGAGACAGCCAAGGTGTCTCAGGAATTCTGGGAGTTAAAGTTCACAGGTTGTAAAAGGGCCACATTTGCCCACCCCTCCACTAAAGAACCTCTTTGCTTGGCTTTGCTCCAGTCATCCTTCAGCTTGGGAGTACAGAACAAACAGCAACTGTGCAGTTACTTGTCTTTCAGAACTGTGGGCTGTGGGCTACCAGAATGGTAGGGGTGAAGGTGTGCTGCTGCTCTTATTACCACAACTTGCCCTTGGAGATAAAATAGGGGATCTGCAGAAAGGAGGAGGTAATATTAACTTCAGGCATTAAAGTTCTTCATCCTGAACAATCCCAAACCTTGGAGACATCTCTTCATTGGGTGTATAGAGGGAAGAGCATTAGGGAGTCAAATCTACACCTGACACAGTATTTATTACAGTTCCCAGTGACCAAAGAAGCTTTTGGCCTAACTTCTGTGCCACTACAACACCATCTTTACAAATAGTCAGGGAAGCTATTGCAATTATCACTTCAACAAAATCAGCGCATCATATCTGTTCTTATAATACTTGATTTTGATCTAGCTTTTTAATTGGTACTAAATATGTAATAGTAGATTTGATATGGGGCTCAAAATCCAAACTCCGCGTACAAGAATGTTTACTGTTAAACACAGTGCCTTCTCCTTTGAACATTATTGATGCAACCACTTACCTCTCTGCAAGTCCAATTCAGGCATGCCAAAAAAGCTGCTAAAATGGCATCGTTGCCTTGATGATCTATCGGACTTAAACTCTGGGACTGTATTTACCTTGCACATTGATATACAATTTGGCCAATCCCATTCTAGCTACATGGGTCACACAAACCAGTCTCTGGAATCAGCTGTTGGTTTAGGCTGTTGTATGGGATCAAAAATATTAGATAAAATTGTATAAATGGGTTGTTTTAGGAGATCATAGCCTGTATATTATGTTATATACGGAGTGGCTAGAATCTACATAAGTTTTCATGCTCGCCACAGATTGGCTAGAATCTGCATAAAGTTTCATGCTCACCGCTGATTGGACCGTGGGAGATTTAACCTGCTGTCATTGGCTGGTTGGTCTGCCTGGAGCTCCTTAAAAGGGCGAGCTCTGGCAACCCAGTCGGCAGAGCGCAGTCACATTTTGTTGGAAATAAAAAGGTGCTGAATTCATTAACAACTCTCGCCTGCTGCTTTTGCGCCGATCTAACACTGGCGACGAAGGACAAAAGGGACCTGAGAACCTCCTCATGAACCACGCAGCTGTCTTGAAACAAGGACCTCCGACCACCTGCACGAATGGCATTGCAAGTATCGCCGGCCCCAACGGTCTTCGACCCACAGGCGGAAGACTGACACACATACATGGGCCATTTCAGAATGTTCCTGGAAGCCAACGATTACCAGGATAGGCCGGACAACAGGAAGCAAGCGTTATTCCTGACCTATTGCGGCACCAAGATCTACAAAATGGTACAGACACTGATTGCCCCAGCAGATGTGGAGACCATCGCCTGGGCCACCCTGCAACGTGCCCTGGAAGACCACTACGCACCATCTGCTGCCCCCATGGTCAGCCGAAATGAGTTTTACCACCGGCACCAACGAGAGGGAGAAACCGTCAATGGTTTTGTGGCCAGCCTCCGGGAGATCACTACCAGATGTGAGTTCATAAATCCCGAAGAAATTATGAAGGACCGGATCATCCTGGGGATGAGGGACCTCGCTCTACAAAAGAAACTGTTGATAAGGAGAGGGGTCTCATTCAAGGACGTTGTCGAGGAGGCCAGGGCTGCAGAATCATCAGACAACTCAGTGGCAAACATAAGGAAGACCAGTGGGGTGCACCACACATACCGGGAGCCCGACTAGTCAACTGAAGTCCCTGAGTACGATGACGACTGGGATGACACAGACGACACCATCCACCGCGTGTACCCAGAAAAGCAGCAAAACCCCAGGGACACAGAGAGCAGGCAGCCACGTTGCCCGGGCTGCATGGGTTTCCACATAAGGGCAGCTTGCTGTTTCCGGGATGCAACATGCCGCCACAAAATAAGGTACTAGCAGAATGGAGGTCAAAGTAACATTCCACGAGTTCCAGGGCCGGCTGCCGCTCACGGTCGTTGGCAGCCACCGGCCATCACTGCTGGGAGTAGAATGGTTTAAACTCCTGGGCCTGGACATCAGCGGACTGCACAACGTAACCACCCACGAACTGGACCAGCTGTTGGCAGAGTTTGCGGACGTCTTCAACCTAGGTAGATGTACGGGAAACCCATTTCATTTAACCTGGACCCCCATGTAACCCCCATCAGACTCAAACCCCATAGGGTACCATTTGCTTCGCAACCCAAGGTCGAGGAACAATTAGACAAACTCATTGCCCAGGAATCCTTGTGCCAACCGACCAAGCGATGTGGAACACTCCCATAGTCACCCTGGTGAAGCCAGATGGGTCCGTCCACATCTGCATGGATTACAAGTGTACACTGAACAAGGCCCTCCAGCAGAGTGCATACCCAGTGCCCGTGGTGCAACATCTGTTGCATTCCCTAGGAAGCGGGAAGATATTCGCCAAGCTGGACCTTGCCCAGCCTATCAGCAGCTGCCAGTAGACGAAGCCACCACTGAAGCACAAACCATAGTGACTCACAGGGGGGCATTTAAATGTACCAGGTTGCAGTTTGGGGTCAGCAAAGCCCCAGGACTTTTCCAGTGCCTAATGGAGCGGCTACTGCACAGGATCCCAGGAGTGGTGCCATACTTTGATGACGTTTTTATATCAGGGGAGTCAATAGGCCAGTTGATGGAACGCGTGCGCGAAACCTTGGGGAGGTTCCAGAAAAAAGGACTCAAAGTGAACCCTAATAAATGCAAAATTGGTGTAAGGCAGGTAGAGTTCCTGGGCTACCTAATAGATGGGTCGGGCATCCACCCGACTGACAGCAAGATGAAAGCCATTAAGAACGCTCCTACCCCGAAGAATAAGGCAGAACTGCAAGTCTTCTTGGGACTGTTAAACTTTTACAGCACATTTTTACAACAGAAGGCCACCATTGCTGAACTGCTTCACAAACTCCTGGGGAAGACAACACCGTGGACCTGGGGATGGAGGGAAGACCAAGCTTTTGCAGCAGTGAAAGACCTCCTCTTGTCCGACAGTGTCCTGATCCAATATAATCATATGTTGCCGATTTGGATCACCTGTGACGCATCCCTTTTCGGAGTTGGGGTGGTCCTCAGTCACCGCCTACCAGACGGAATGGAAGCACCGATAGCATACTACTCCAAGACCCTGTCATCAGCTGAGCACAACTACAGCCAAATTGATAAGGAGGCCTTGGCTATGGTGGCAGAGATTAAGCGGTTCCAAGACTATGTATACGGTAGGCATTTCGAGATTGTAACCGACCATAAGCCCCTATTAGGATTCCTCGCCGATAACCAGCAAACCCCACCATACATGTCCCCAAGGATGACCAGATGTGCCATTTTCCTCACGGCGTACGACTACGAGCTGATCCACCGCCCCAGTAAAGACATCAGCCACGCCGACGCTCTCAGCTGCTGCCCGCTGCTAGAATTGGTGGAAGACCCCGCACCCACCACCCAAGTGCTGTTGATTGACATCGACCCGGCCAACCCAGTAACCACCAGAGACATCGCTGAACACACCCAAAAAGACAAAACGTTAAGAAAGGTTCTTAACTGAGTGTTGAGGGGGTTGCCACAGGAGAACCTGGGGGAGGAGTTCAAGAGTTATTACAGCAAGCAAACCGAACTGTCAACCATTAAGGGCTGTTTGCTGTGGGGAGAAAGGATTGTCGTTCCCCAAAAGCTTCGGAGGCGCGCCATGAATCCCCTGTACGTGGGCTACCCTGGGATCGTGAGGATGGAGGCGTTAGCCCGGAGCTACATCTGGTGGCCCCAGATGGACAAGGACATTATTGAGTGGGTGGCCATCTGCAAACCCTGCCAGGAGCTCGACCAGCGCCACCATGGGCACCCACTCATGAATGGGAAGCGGCCAAGGGGCCCTGGTCCCACATACATATTGACTTTGCAGGGCCAGTAGAAGGACAGATGTTCCTGATTGTCATGGACACATACTCCAAGTGGTTAGAAGTGATCATCATGCAGACAACCACGACAGAAGCCACCATCTGAGCCTTCCGATGCCTGTTCGCCACCCATGGTCTACCCAACGTCCTGGTTTCCGATAACGGCCCACAACTGACAGCCAAGACCATGAAGGCATTCTTCGCAGAGCAAGGCATCCAGCACGTACTCATCTCTCCTTTCCACCCAGCAAGCAACAGGCAGGTCGAGCGAATGGTGAGACTAACCAAGGAAACTCTTACCCGAATGGGCCCAGGGAATTGGCAGGAAAAAGTTGACCAGTTCCTCCTCGCTCAACACATCACCCCCCATGCGACCACCAACAAAAG